GTCGATCTTGTTGATTTTCTCCAGGAACCAGCTTTTTGTTTCATTGATTCTTTGGATTGTTTTCTGTGTTTCTATTTTGTTGATTTCAGCCCTCAGTTTTATTATTTCCAGTCTTCTACTTCTCCTGGGCGCGTCTGCTTCTTTTTTTTCTAGAGCTTTCAGGTGTGTTTTTAAGTCCCCAATGTATGCATTCTCCGTTTTCTTTAAGTGGGCACTTAGTGCTATGAACTTTCCTCTTAGCACTGCTTTCATTGTGTCCCATAGGTTTGAGTATGTTGTCCCTTTATTTTCATTAAATTCAAGGAAGACTTTAATTTCTTTCTTGATTTCTTCCTTGACCCAGGTGTGGTTCAGTAGTTGACTGTTCAGTTTCCATGAGTTTGTCGGTTTTTTGGGGGCAGCGTGGTTGTTGCCTTCTAACTTTAATCCGTGATGATCTGATAAGACACAGGTGGACACTGATATTTTTTTGTATCTGTGGAGGTTTCCTTTGTTACCAAGTATGTGGTCAATTTTTGAGAAGGTTCCATGAGCTGCAGAGAAGAAGGTATATTCTTTCCTATTTGGGTGGAATGTTCTATAGATGTCTGTTAAGTCCATTTGCTTCATTACCTCCAATAATTCTCTTAATTCTCTATTAGGTTTCTGTCTGATTGACCTGTCCCTTGGAGAGAGAGGTGTGTTGAAATCTCCTACTACTAGTGTGTGTGGTTTGATGTCTGCCTTGAGTTCTAGTAATATTTCTTTTACGTAAGTAGGTGCTTTTATATTGGGGGCGTATATATTCAGGATTGAGACGTCCTCCTGATGAATTGTTCCTGTTATGAGTATAAAGTGACCGTCTCGGTCTCTTCTGATTGATTTTAGTTTGAAGTCAGTTTTGTTAGAAATTAGTATGGCCACACCTGCTTTTTTCTTAGGACCATTTGCTTGAAAGACCTTTTCCCAACCCTTTACTCTGAGTAGGTGCCTGTCTTTGTGGTTGAGATGTGTTTCTTGCAAACAGCAGAATGTTGGATCCTGTTTTCGTATCCAATCCTTTAGCCTGTGCCTTTTTATAGGTGAATTGAGCCCATTAATATTAAGTGATATTAATGACCAGTGGTTGTTTACTCCGGTTATTCTTATTGCTTTTGGTAGTAGAGATTGTGTGTCTCCCTTCTTTGAGATGTGCTCGTGAAGGGTCATTAGATGCCTGGGTTATTGTAGGCAGTGTTGGCAGTGTTGGATTCCTTGGGTTGCGATTTTCCTTCTATTACTTTCTGTAGGGCTGGATTTGTGGCTACGTATTGTTTAAATTTGTTCTTATCCTGGAATGTCTTGTTTTCTCCGTTGATAATGAACGATAGCTTGGCTGGGTATAGTAGTTTGGGTTTGCATCCATGGTCTCTTAGCTTCTGCAGAACCTCTATCCAGGACCTTCTGGCTTTCATAGTTTCCATCGAGAAGTCAGGTGTAAGTCTGATCGGTTTACCTTTATAAGTTACTTGCCCTTTTTCTTTTGCAGCTCTTAATATTCTTTCTTTAACCTGTATATTTTGTGTTTTGATTATTATATGGCGAGGAGATGTTTTTCTTTGATCCAGTCTGTTTGGTGTTCTGTATGCTTCTTGAATATTTAAATGAATATCTTTCTTTAAGTTGGGAAAGTTTTCTTCCATAATTTTGTTGAAAATATTTTCTGGGCCTTTGAGCTGTGACTCTTCTCCTTCTTCTATTCCTATTATTCTTAGGTTTGGTTTTTTTATTGTGTCCCATAGTTCCTGAATGTTTTGTGTTGAGAATTTGTTGGCTTTGCTGTTTTCTTTGATCTGTTCGTTTATTTTCTCTATGGTGTCCTCAGCATCTGAGAGTCTTTCTTCTAGCTCTTGTATTCTATTGATTATGCTTGTTTCTGTAGACTCTGCTCGTTGGCCTAGATTTTCCATATCCAGCTGGTCCTCAGTTTGTATTTTCTTCTTTGCCTTCATTTCAGTTTTCAATTCTTGAACTGTTTCCATTACCTGTTTGATGGTTTTTTCTTGGTTTCCCAGGGTATCATGTATGTATTTACTCATTTCTTCAAACTTTTTGTTATACTTCTCATCCATTTCTATAAGGGCATTTTTTTACATGTTGTTTAAGGGACTCTATTATCTTCATAAAGTCGAGTTTTTCCACTTCTTCTGTGTTAGGTTGTTCAAATACTTCTGTTGTAAGTTCATTGGGTTCTGATGTTTTCATGTTGTTTTTCGGATTATTGGGTGAATTCTTGCCTTGGCGCCTGCCCATCTCCTCCTATTGATCCTATCCAATGGGTCCTTTAAAAACCGGATCAGGTTTCCCTGCTGGCCAAGGGCTCCGCTTACAAAATGCCCTCACTCTCTTTCGTGGTTCCTGCTGCAGGCCAAGAACCCTCTCACCCCTCCGAAGGATCTTCAGGACAGGACCAGGCTCCCCTTGTGCCAGTGACCTGGCCAACCAAAAGCCTACCTCTTTGGTTCAATTGTAGTAGGGCGATCTGCTCTCCTTATTGCACGCCTGTCCCCGCCGCTTGGGTCTGCCGCTGCGCCGGTCCCCGAAAGCCTCTTCCTGTATGCGGTGTTGCTCCGCCGCGTCTGGCCGCCACGCCGCTCCGCCTCTGCGCCACTTCTCTGTTCTTTCAACATTTAACCCAATAGCCGACTCCAGGTTTTTTATTATTAAGACCAATTAGAATTCGTGCTACAGGAATCAGCCCAAGAGAAAGAAGTACACTGCAGTCAACAAAGCTGAAAGGAATTGGAGATCTGAAGAGCACTTTGACAAGAGACCTGGAGGAGCAGAGTTTGGAGTTTGCCCAACTGGTTTTCAGCCTTGCTTTGGTCCAATATTTCCTCACTATGCTCTCTTCCCTATGTTTCAGGATGGTAATGTATAACCTGTGCCATTACATGTGTGAAGTATGTAATCTGATTTTTGATCTTGATTATATAGGGTATTACAGTTAAAAGGTTGCATGAGTCTCAGAGGAGACTTTGAACTTTGGACTTTTAAACATTGTTGATATTGTGATGGACTGTGGGGACTTTTGAAGTTGGACTAAATGCATCTTGCATTGTGATATTCTTATAATCTTATGGGGGCCAGGGAGTGGAATGTGGTTGCTTGAATGTAATTGGCCTCCATAATTTCACAGGGATTGACACTATTAGGAGATGTGGCCTTGTTGGAGTAGTAGGTATGGTCTTGTGGAGGAAGTGTGTCTCTATGAGTGATGGGCTTTGAGGTCTCTTATGTTTAAGCTGCTGCCAGTGTTACAGTTCACTTCCTGTGGCCTGTGGATCAAGATATAGAACTATCAGCTCCTTATCTGGGAACTTGTCTGCCTGAATGCCACCTGCCATGATGATACTGGACTAAACCTCTGAACTGTTAGCAAGCCACCACAATTAACTATTTTCCTTTGTAAGAGTTGCTGTGATTGTGGTGTCTCCTCACAGCAATAGAAACACCAATTAAGACAGGAGATGTGTCCTGTTGGAGAAAGTGAGTCACTGGATATGAACTTTGAGGTTTCATGCCAAGTCCTGTATCTATGTCTGTGGATAAGGATGTAGCTCTCAGTTACTGCTCCAATGACATGAGTGCCACCATACCCATTCCATAAGTTAAATGATGAACTAAACCTCTGAACCTGGAAGCAAGCCCGCAATTGCATGTTTTATAAGAATTGTAAGAGTTGCTATGGTCATATGTGTCTCTTCAAGCAGTAGACCAGTAACTAAGAGAAGGCCAAACTGCCTTGAAAGAAGGGCAATGTGCAAGAACTAATGCTTCCCCCTTTAGAAACCATCCACAAAGCTACAACAAACAGTGAAATGGTGAGACCAGCCTAAGATTGATCTGGAATTTAATACACAAAGATTGTTATTTTGATACAAGCACTAAAACGTATTAACTAACAATTTTACTTAAAACATAATGATTAGTCAATGGATAAACTATAATATCTCCCAAAAATGTTAATGAGATGCATGGATATTCACAAGAAAAAGAATGTAATTGGCCCTTGCCACTAACCACACACAAAGTTAATACACAATGGATCAAAATCTAAAATCAACTTAAACAAGAGTAAAGTTTTATGACACTGGGTCAAGAAACAGTTTCTTAGATCTATAGAAAATAACAAGAGATAAAGTTGCTTGGTTAGATGAGTGGGGTATGCCTTTATCCCAGGATTCCTGAGGGGGAAGCAGGAGAATCTCTGTGAGTTTAAAGGCAGTCTGGTCTACAGAGTGAGTTCCAGAATAGCCAGGGCTACATAGGGAGAATCTAGCTTCTCCCCCTTCCCTGCCACCATGAATTGTATTTAACCAAATAGAAAATATTTGTTTATAATACAAAGGACATCATGAAATAAAAATGCCCCCAGCTGTGGTGCCATGAGCCTATCATCCCAGCACTGGGGAGGTGGTGGCAGGAAAATCAAAAATTCAAAGTTATCTTCAGTAATGTGGTAAGTTCCAGGCTAGCCTAGGGAATGTGAGACTTCTTAAATACATATATGTGTGTATCTCTCTCTCTCTCTCTCTCTCTCTCTCTCTCTCTCTCTCTCTCCCTCCCTCCCTCTCCCTCTCTCCCTCCCTCCCTCCCTCCCTCCCTCTCTCTCTCTCTCTCTCTCTCCCTCGCTTCCTCTCTCCCTCTCTCCCTCCCTCTTTCTCTGTGTGTGTGTAAAATGTGGGAGGGGAGAAAGGATTATGGGAGCCAGAAGATCCAAGGACACCACAAAATCAGTTAACCTGGGCTCATATGGCTCAGAGACTGAACCACCAACCGGAAAGCCTAAGTAAACAGGAAGTGCATTGTAAGCAACTTCCAAAACTCTAGAAATGACAGAGACATCTCACTGCCTGGACAGTCACCCAAAGTTCTTCTGTACCGTTGGGGCATCCATCTTCAGCTTACAGGCCCATAGTATCCAGCAAACATTTTCATGAAGCAGGAAATTTTAAAGACAGTTCCGTCACTTTCTTCTGTGTCCTGTAGAATGCCTCCCAGACTCTTTCATGAAACAGGAACCCTGAAGGATCATCTCACCTTTAGGCAATTAATTTTATGGAAGTTAGTATATGAAAGAGATTCGTAAACATCCTCAGTCTTCTCTTTTCCTGTCCCCATCCCCTCTCCTGACCAGTCTACTGCTCATAACCCTCACAGCTCTCCTTCCTTTTGACTCAGGTCAGGAACCCATCACCTCTCCAGGCATTTCTGCATCAGTGTCTCCATGTACACTTTACCTCTTAATTTTCCTCTTCAATACAGTCTTTTTTATTTTAATTTTTTAATATTTTCATCAGTATATTTTGATTATGTTCTTTCCCCTCCTCGAAGTTCATATTCTTTCTCCTCCCACTCTCACTTTTAAGACAAAACAAAGCAAACAACAAAAAGTGTAAAAGATAAACTAAAAGACATAAAAAGAAAAACAAAAAAACTACAAAAGCAAACAAACATGGAGTCAGTTTTGTGTTTCTCAAGTCCCCCTGGGCTTGTGTACTGCCAGGAGTGTGGCTGAATATACCCAGTGGCACTCCATTGGGAAAAACTGACTTTCCCTTTCCTAATAGGTATCAGTTGCAAATAGGTTCTTGGTTAGGGCAGGAGTTTGTGTCCACTTCTCCATGTCAGTGTTGGGCAGTTGTGGGCATCAACTCTTCATATGTCTGATTCATTTTCTCAAAAATTTCACACTGGTTCTATCTGACCCCTGTTTAAAGCCATTTAAACCCCCATACCCTGCTCCTTTCATCACTGTGGCGATGTGTGTGTATATGTGTGTGTGCGTATGTGTGTGTCTGTGTGTGTGCCACCTCCTCCCACCTATCAGAGTAACAACAATAGATCTACATGCTCTGCTCACTGAAGATCAGTCTGAGCACACAACTATCATCTCTCTCTCTCCATGCTCCACACAAGCATTCCCAGCATCTTGCCTGCCTCTCTCTCACCTAGTTTCTCACCATGGAGGAGTACCACAACCTGCACCTTGTTGCCCACACTATAGTCAGAGCAGGACTCAGCTCAGCCAGGAAGCCTTCCCTGTTATGCTATCACTGCTCACCCCGAACCTAAATAGGTTACACCCTACATTTCTTATTCATTGGCCAGTTATAATCTAAAGAATCCTAAAGGGGCCTGATATCAATTTTGTTACCAAACAACTTGGTCAAACACTTTGTTATTTTCTTGTTAACTGAAACCCCACACAACTAAGAAAGAATTGTCTCTGATGGAGTATGGCTGTACGGGTAACTTCCTAACCTTTACAAAAATTAAAACAACTAATATTTATTGGGTAAATTATATATTATATCAATTGTTATACTAGCTTTAGCTTAAAATAACACATTTCTGAAGGAAGTATTCTTACCTGTGTGTTATAGATGAAAATCTACAGCCGAGAGAGGGCATCTTATACCAAAATTACAATCTCTGCATGGGAGAAGCGGAATGTCATTAGAGCCTGGCTCTCAGTCACCTTCTCTGCTTCTAGCACACAGGCTCAGAGGTGGGAGGTGAGGAAGGCAAAGTCTTCACATTGTCCATCAAGTTGAGCTTATGGAGACTCAGCACAGGCCAGAGCCCTCCTAGGACAGAGCTAGATGGCTAGTCACAGACCATTTCTCCTGAGGAGATTTTCCCTCCTGTCTGAATGTGAGAGACCCTGGGATGTATTGAAAGTAGAAGGATCCAAGGAAAGAGGATTTGAAGCGTGTTTCCATAGAGCAGGCAATGAGGGAAGAAGTTTGAGGAGTTTGAAATATATGTACCAAGTACCAGAAATTGGGTAGACTGACTACTTCTCATCTCTAGTACCACAGATGCCTAGGTCTCACCCAAAAACTTAGCACCAAAGACTATCTCGCCACTAGTAGAGCCAAGGAATGTTTCACTGAGTGCCTGTTTCTTCCCCCTGTAGGAAACCTGAAGCAACTGAGTCAAAAGACTAAGGATTTGAGGTTGCCCAGTTTCCAGAAAAATTTCAAGGTAAGGCAAAGTTTGAGGGTTGAGTCTCTCACTCCTCAGCAAGTAGGCCAGCACTGGATCCTGAAAATGGCGCTTATAAAATCCTGTTTAACAAAGGCAAGCTCAGATATTTTCACCTCTTCCCTGGGACCAGCTCCTGGGGTTTTATGACCCTGCCTCCTCTCTGAGATTCCCCAGGAGAGCTGGGAAAGGGCCATTTCTGTTCCCAGTAGGGATGCAAAGATGATCTCTGGATGCTGTCAACAAGAGCACTACAGGGAGACCCTGGGGGGCAGAGCTGGAGAAACAGCCCATAGGTGGAGAAGTGGTGACCTGTTCCCTTTTCTAGACTAATTGGGGGAATAAGAGCAGCTCAGAGAAGAGGAGGTGAGACCTGGTTACCTGATACACAGGACAAGGACTTAAGTTCTCATTCTGATTCCTCTTTTACTGCCCAAACCCTGAGTCCATATTTGAATCACACTTCTCTTCCTTCCTCAACTACCTTGGGGGCAATCATAGTCCTCCCTTCTCTGCTGTGTGATATCTGAGCAGGTTACCCAGTCACTCTGGTGTTAATGAAGAGTCATCAACAATGGGGCCTGACTGGAGAGGTGGCTCTGGGAAAAACAGGATTTGCTGTGCTGCAGAAGACCCAGTTTGGTTCCCAGCACTCACATGGCTGCTCACAACTATATATATCTTTAATTCTAGAGAATCTGGTGTTCTTTTCTAACTTCCCCTGAGACCAGACATGCATGTAGTGTACATATATATGTGCAGGCAAAATGCTCATACACATAAACAAAAATAAATGAAAAAGAGTCAACCATGACATGCCAATATGAAAGTCAGCAGTAAACCTGAGGATTGTAAGGATTAAAGACCAAATCCACAGTTGTCCGACTAAAGGAAGCTGTACTTTGGGGTGCACTCCGGACTGGTCTGCTGGCTGTCTCACCCTAGGTTTGGATTGGAGAGAGAAGCCCTAATGGCCTCCCAAGTCCCTTTTATAGGGGAGATAAAATGTTCAAAGGGGTAAAAGATTTGGCTGTGGTGCATTGTTAGAAAAATGCAACAAAAGGGAAGGAACAAGGGTAAGACATGAATGAGGTCAAAATTTTAGTGCAGGTTGAAACCTGGCTTTACAGTTTATATCAGTTTTTTTTTTTTTTTTAAAAAAACCCAGTAAGTTATTCTTCAACTACAAACAGAAATCTTAACTTTCCAGGACTTAACACAGTACCAACAGGAACTTATTCTTAACTGTCTTCATCGCAAATAGAAACCTTAATCTACAAGGTATGCTGTTCCTGTTTTGGTCTCATATTCCCCCCTTGAATTGTATTCTGAGTCAAATCCTTGACTCTGTAGTGGGCATCTGGTTATATTGGGATCTAATAACCATCGTCAACTTAATGGCTCCAAAATAGGAATTTATATATTTAATTAAGGCATTAGGATGCAAGGGCCAACAGTAATTAGTAGAAACAGAAGGGCCAAAGGCCCTAGCTGACACAAATTACTATCTAGGAGGAGCCCAAATGTGAGAATGATCATCAGTCATTTTTTTCATCTCCGGTCCCATTTTTGTAATGTTTCTTTGGGTATAGCCAAATTATCTCTAATGATTCCTGAGTGGTTTTGTATAGAAATAACAATTTTATTTTAAGGCCATATAATATCGCCTTGTTCTATATAATTCACATATAATTATATATAACATATATAACATAATATTTATATATAATTCATATTGTAGAACTACTTCACCTAATGAATCCACCTATGGACAAATCTTGGCCTATATAGTTTCAACACTTACTTTTCCTGGTGTAGCAATAGGCACTATAGGTAGCCATTTTGTCCCCTATGCCAGGGAATTTCCTTTTGACTCAATATTCCAGTCTACTGAGGACAAGGGACAACATACTCTCTTCTGTAACTACTTCCTGTTAAAACTAGGATGTCATTGCCAGGGCCCAGGTAGCCTGGAATGCTAGTTAAAGGCTGGGAGGGGACTCAGGCAATGGGGCGTTCATCAGAAGCATCTGGTTAGCTGACCAAGCTTCAGAGAGCAGTTGTAGCAGCTGGACTGGCTCACATTAGCTTTCTGCGAGTACAGGGCTCGCAGCAGTTTGGAGTGTGTTGTAGCAAGCCGCTGATTCCTGGATGGTGTCTGCCAGACAACTAGAAATCTGCTGATTCGATATGGACTAGGAACAGAAGTTAAAGTTTAAGAGCTTAAAGGTAAATCTTATATTTGGAACTTTCAGGCCCATAGTCCTGACATAGTAATTGGTGAAGAGAAGATATCCCCAGACCAAAGAAGAGAGAGCAAGATTCCATCCTTAGGAATAGGAAGGTGAAGAAACTTAGGCTGTACTTACCTGGATTCCATTTGACCTATGAGAGATGGATCCTTAATTCCCTGAAGCTTTCATATTTTTTTAAATTTAAACAAAGATAAAAGTTTTAGATATATTAGCATTACCACTGTTGGTAATCTGTACTAAAATCACTATTACCAAGAAAAATCATTGCAAAACAAGTTCTTTTAAATAAAGGAATAGTAAAAAGTTACATCTGAAACCTGCTTTTCCTTTAATAGTAAGGCTGTTAGTAAGGCAAGCCTGTCTGTCTATCTCACCAGGAGACACAGTAGCTCTATAAAAAATGAGACCTGGTTTTTTACATATGAAAGAAACTCACAAGGTGGCTGCAAGCTTGGGGGAAGAAACTGGTTGTGTGCTGCTGTTAAACTGACAAAGTTACAGTTAATCTAGTTGTCAATGCCATCAGAGATCTGAGAAGGATAAGTTATAGCAAGAATTATAGTCCAAATGACCTACGTATCAATTAAAACAACAGAAACTTACCCATTATCTAGATGGTCACCCCAGGCTATGGTGATTTCAATTACTTCCTTGGGGGCAGAGGTCCCAGGGTAGAATTTCTCTTCAGCTGCCAGACCCATGTCTGAGAAAGTTTCTGAGATTTTTCAGTAGAAAGAGAACTTGTGAGACTGACTTTATTCTGTTTAGGCAAAGTGGGGCAATAAACTCTCAAAGATCCTGCTGTTTTTATTCAGAAATGATGGCAGGTCCCTGGCGGGCTCATGGGGACGAACCGCTAGCAGGTCCCCTCGGAACCCCGGAGCGTCCTAGTGGCAAGTGGCAGACACACAACAGGCGGGCAGGAATGAGGCGAGTCCCGGGCAGGTCCGGGAAGGGCCCAGCTGCTGCTCTCACTGGCGGAGCCACGCAGAGGCACTGGCAGCTGTGGTTTCCCAACAAGCAGGCAGCGGATAGGCGTAAAGCTAAAATATTTATTACAGGAGAGAGGGGGAGAGGGAGAGGGAGGGGGAGGGGGAGAGGAGAGGGAGAGGAGGGGAGGGGAGGGGGAGGGGGAGAGGGAGAGGGAGAGGAGAGGCAAAAAACCCGTGTGCACCCCAAAAAAGCAGAAAGAGAAGAGAGAGAGATGGCGGCGGAAGGTCAGAGGTAGTGGGAGTGGGCGTGGCTTGTCTCCCAAAGAGACAGGAAACCACAACACCTGCCTGTCCACAATTTGCGCTGGGCCCTGGCAGCAGGCAAGGCTTTGAGGGAATTTTTCCAGTGGTTAGTATTACTACAATCCAGGGGCAGTCACCATGCCCCATCATCTTCTTTGGAGACCTTGGGGTTACTCCCAGGAGCTGGAGTCTCTCTGTCATAGTAAGCTTTTTCCATTAAGTATTTTATGCCATATTCAGCAGATATCTGGAAAGTTTGATGACCATTATCTATTAAGTATATCTGAGCTAAACAAACTTTGCTTGTTTTTATTTGTTTCCTTTAGGCTTAACCTTGGAAGCATATACAGGGGGCTAAATAAGACTTATTTCTATAATTAATTACTTTAGCACTTAGTATAACAAGTATAGTTCTGAACACATTAAAGAGTCTGATCCTTTATGAGGCAACTGACCATTAACTTGCATGTCTTAATTATCTTTAACAGCTTACAATAAGCTAACAGCTTTTATAAGATTAGGGCCTTACAACTTTATCCCTGTTAAGTTTGAGTCTTAAAAAAATCTGAATTGAAGCTCCTTTTAGTATCAAAATAAAATTTTAAATCATGAATACAGCCCATAGGGAGACTGGCAACTTTATAATTTCCTGGTTCTTATAGCTTAGAAAAATAGCTGAAGCTTAACAAAGTTAGCAAAGACAAGGGGGCTAGACATCCATCCGCAGTCTCTGTCAGCTTGAATAAACCTTAGGTAAGGAGGGACTCTTCGCTAGACTGCTTAGGTTGTTGTCTTGCTGAATCATAAGGTAGGAACATCCCAGTTACTTGTGGTTAATGCCTGTTGTTCATATCTGTGGACCTAACTCATTAGCCTTTTAGTTATTTCTTAAAATTATATACTAATAATATAAAACATTTTATAAATTTAGAATGTCCTATAGCCTTATTAATTTAAATATTTTATAAAGGCTAAAAACATCCAGACCTTTTTATTTAAATTTGTGTAAAACTCCAAAATTTCCTCTTAAAATAGTAAAAATCTCTAAACTATGTATTCCTTCAATATCAAACAAAGTAAAATAAAAAAATTGGGAGGTGGTGACACATGCCTTTAATCCCAGCACCCAGGAGGCAGAGGCAGGCAGGTCTCTATGAGTTTGAGGCCAGCCTGGTCAACAAAACAAGTTCCAGGACAACCAGTACTGTTGCACAGAGAAGCTCTGTCTCAAAAAACAAAAACACAAACAAACAAAAAAAGGAAAGTACCTCTTTTACTTTAAGAGGGAAGACATAGGGCACAATCAGCACAAGGCAAAATTATGCTCTAAAAATGCAAACAATTTAATATTCATTATCTGGGTGTAGCGGCGTAAATGAATGCAGACAGACTGTAATAATATATACAGCTTTAATGGGGAAATAGACTTACAGAACCACAGGTTCCCGCGGAGAACAGGAAAGCAGAAGGGGCGGTTGGGAGCACGCCCACAATCTTTATAAGTAAAAAATATCCTCGGGGGACCCTGCCCCCTGCTAGCAAGGTGATTGGCTGGGTCTCTCCTACATCTGGGATTCCCTCATAATCTCTGGACTTTCCCAAGGGACTCAGGTCACCTCTTTGGCCCCACCCTAAGCAGCATATATAGCCTTTTAGAACCTAGCCAGCTGAATATCATTGTCATTGGTGTTTCTGGTGACTATCATATCACTTGCATTGCCAAAACTGCTAGGATTACCCCACGACAACTGGGTTCTCTTCAGGAACTCCAGGTCTGCCACACAGGCAAGCCTCCGCTGCTCTCCATGGCCGCTTTATGCCTTTGAAACCAATACCACGGGGCTGGAGAGATGGCTCAGAGGTTAAGAGCATTGTCTGCTCTTCCAAAGGTCCTGAGTTCAATTCTCAGCAACCACATGGTGGCTTACAACCATCTGTAATATGGTCTGGTGCCTTCTTCTGGCCTGCAGGCATACACATAGACAGAATATTGTATACATAATAAATAAGTAAATATTAAAAAAATAAAAAGATAAAACCAATACCACATGGGTGACTCTTACGTTACAAAGTTTGGCTACCAATGCAAGATACATTCTTGTATATGAACACATGAAGGCACAGCTTTAATACTTTATTAAACAAGCATTTTTTAAAAATCTTATCTTTCACAAAACTTGTTTTCAGGACAGGAAATATCATATAAAATTCCAGTCTAATCCAAATATCTTGGAAACATGCTGGTGCCTCCTTGGTTAGCCCACACTGTGTGGTAACGTTTAATCTCGATGGTAAAGTCACATGACATTCATCTTCTCCAATCCTAGCAAAGATGGTTGTCAGCTACATGGCTGCCTAAAGATGGCAGTGAAGTCACATGCTGTTTATGGTTCAAGGTGCTGTCAGACCACAGAGACCCTTTAAGATTACCTATGCATGTACTTTAACTAGCAACCCTGTGTTATGAGTTTTAAGTTAAATTTTTTGTTACAGATTTTTATCCATACCCAATAAACTTAAAAATCTTGAGATAAGGTTTATATCTTGGCAAAAGGTTTAGGCAACTAAATGAAAACATTCATCTTTTTTAGCTGTTCTGTTTTGTCTCTTCTCCGTTGCAGCATCAGATGGTTCGCCAGACCCCAGATAGATATTTTAAAAGCATGTCTGGGTCCAAAATGGGAAGAGCCAGAACCCAATTCCAGAGCCATCTTTTCAATAAAGTAGAATAGCATAAAACAACTTTATTATCCACACTTAAAAGACATTTGAATTTTTATTAAACTGGACCTGCCCAGTGGCCAGAAAGCTCAAAGATAAATTCCAAGCCCCAAACATCAAAGCAGCCATGGAAGCTTTGGAAGCTCACATACAGAGACCCATCTGGACCAAGCATGCTATCATCATACATTCATCTGAGCCTGACCCACTTCTGCCTTGTCTCCATGTTGGCAACAACACTGACAATCACATTAGAGCGCATAAACCTATCTATTCACGTAGAGCAGACAGACCAAACCTTCCCTGCTATTAAAGCCTGGGAGCAATCACTGAATGCTTCCCTACCTCCTTCAGTGTGGTAATTCTGAGAAGGCCTGCCACGGTATCTGCTGCTGTTGAATCCAATATTCAGCGGACTCTAGTGCCTGCCTGTACGGTAGAGAGAAGGGAAGGCAATGGAACCTTCTGGTACAGTGGGAGGCTGTAAGATCAGTGTCTCAACGACGCCATGAGCTACCGCAGTAAATGTTTATGCAGCTCAGTGCTGGGGCCAGAGGGCAGGGAAGCTTACCAGTCTTGCTGCCCATGTCTCAGATCAGCTTCAGTTACCTCAAGTCGGAATACACAAAGACAGGTAAAACACAAGGCAAGACACAGAGCAAAAGTGAGAACAGAAAACACAGGACAATGACATCAGCATTGGAGCCATTCAGAGGTCCATAAGTTTGGTCAAATGAATCTTCCTAACAAAGAGCCCCTTTTTCCTCAATAGCCTCCCCGTATAATCCAGGTGCCAGGAACCCACCAGAAGCCGGACCTCTCTGAGTTCTCCTTGGCTCCCAGAATGCCTGACATCCCAAGCTGGACCTCTCCACACCGTCAGCTTGGCCCCCAGGGATGTCCTATGGTTCCTCAGCTCTGTTGTGCACTTGTAGATGAGTACCTAGGTGCCAAGCTTCTCCTGGTCTTCCGGAGCTTTTCAGCTCTTGCTCTTCTCCAGGGCATCCTCAGGATTTCAAGGCAGGTCAGAGAATAACTGATAGCTGTCTGAACTCCCAATTAACCAGAAATAGCCAAGGGTCACGTGACATCTCACTTTTCCCAGAACAGGGGTCCATAGATTTTGTCAAATCCTTCCTGTTTCCCAGATGGGGATCCCACAGAACCAGAACCATACATCATAGAAAACTAAAAAGACTTCTATGACTTACCAAAAGGAGGCTTCTAGGGGTGATGCTTGCTGTCTCCTTTTTCAAGCCATTCGTTCTGGGAGTGCTGTATAGGACCACGGCACACCCTGGAGCCTTGGATCAGCAAACCAAATGGCACAAGCCCTGGGTGGCTCAGCCTATGGAACATCCTATAGCAAAGGATCTGGCTCAGAGTTTGAGTGACTGGTCCTATCTCACTGGGGAACTCAAGATGTTAATCTGAGAATTGTGAGGAGAAAAAAAAATCAAATTCACAACTGTCCAAGTAAAACAAGCTGTATTTTGGAATGTACCTTAGACTGGGCAGCTGCCTGTCTCGCCTTAAATTGGAATTGGAAAGAGCGGCCCCTGCTGGCCTCTTGGAGTCCTGTTTACCGGAGAAAGTGTTCCCAAGGGTGTTAGAAAACTCCAGTGAAAGAGAAGAACAAGGGTGTGGGATATGCATCATGTGGGTGACTTTGCAAGTTCAGTTCAGGTTGAAAAACATGCTTTACAGTTTACATCAGATCTAAGAAACAGTAACTTATTCTCTAATACAAACAGAAACCTTAGAAACTTTAACTTACAAGGACTTAGCATGGGACAGACAGGAACCTGCGGCTTAACTACAAATAGAAAACTTAATCTGAAAAGGACAAATAGAAATATATTCTTAACTGTCTTAACTGAAAACAGAGCCCTTAACCTCTAAGGTGTATTATTCCTGTTTTGGTCTCACATTCTCCATGGCAATAGAATGAGAAAACTCTCCAAAAGGCTCATGTCTCTTGGGTTCAAATAAGAAGTGGGGTCTAAATATATCAACCTCTGGATCATGTTCTCTTGAACTTGGTGTTATTCTGCTTCGGCTGCCTCTTCTATAGAATTCCAATAGTAACCTCTTCCCTTCTAGGATGTCTAGAGAAATAAAATGTCGTAATGT